GTTAGCATGGATCCGGGTGAGACAGTGTAGATTATGTTGGATACACTTGCTTTAAGACCATTTTTAGGGATAGCAAACTAAAGAACAGTTATCATAATATTTGATTTGATATTTGATGATATATACTTTATGTTAGATTATTTGGTAATATTCTACCTCAAAGTTTGTTAATAAAAATACTGACATTTGAATTTTTTGTTAGTTTCCTAAGCAAATCATGTACAAAGAACATTTATCATAATATTTGATTTGATATTTGATGATATTTACTTTATATTAGATTATTTGGTAATATTCTACCTCAAAGTTTGTTTATAAAGATACTTACATTTTTTTAGTCAGTGTTTTCTTCCTCTGTGTTTGTATTAATATCATTATCACTGTTAGACCTTGGTATATAAATTTGAAATTCAAGTCGTCTGACTTTATTTTGTAGTGTACCAACTTCATCATGCAATTCATCAATTACATATTTAAATGATTTATCTTTCTTTTTTGTTTTTCTATTTTTTTCTCATTAACACTTATGCCGGCTCGCCACGGCGAGCCGGTATTACGTTAGGATTTTACTGAGAAACAACCTAAAGCTCCGAATCCATCCAAAAATTTAATCGAAGCTTGGCTTCCAGCTTTCAACCAAATTTATCTGTCCGGGCTGGAATCCAAAATTATTTAGCCAATCAAATTTAATCTTACATAGCGTTAAAAAAACCTTCAATTTTCACGCCATTTTTAAAAAGCAGCAAGAATTGCTTTGAGCGCTAAGATATAATGATGATTAAAATGTTTGTTTTCATGAATTCTTTTCAATAAATCATACTTACACTGACTTGATTTAGCGATTTCATCTGTTTTCTCTGTAGTAAGTTTTCGTTTGGTTAATTAACATAACTGTACATCTGGTTCTGTGCATTTCTTTCCTTTTCTTTTTTTCTGGTCATTTTATCCTTTCCGGTATTTAGGGTGGGGGAAATCCCGGGATCCGGGACGCCCGGGATCCGGGATAGTATTAAAGATATATAGGGAAAAGGAATAAACTACATGTATATTTATGTTGATTATTGTCGTTGAATCTTTGTACAGGAGATGATCATTATACCAAACCCTCTTACAATATAATTCCCTTTCATGCTCACGATGGGCAAGTTGTGCTCTGGTGAGCATAAACAGGAATGGGGATCCCTATTCATCTGTTGTCCCTTATTTAGTTTCTCTTTAAATGATATCTATGAAACCAAAGAATGCACATTAACCACACTACAGGAGTCCTCTTTCATACTTGTTCATATTGTTCTACACATAGGTCAAGGACACGTCTTATATAGAAAAACATACGCACACCTTTATACCTTATTAATGCATAAACCTTAAATATTTGGCATGTGGTATTGCCTTGTTGACCACTTAAAAATTTTGTTCATGTATCTACATCATATCAATTTGTTTAAAATGTTTCACATACCAAGATGAAGTGGACATAATTTTTATTAAAATGCTTAGGGAAAATATGTTTAAGTCTTATTGATATAAACTTCAATGCCTCCAGCTTTAATATTAAATATGTACCAATGCCTTGAGAACTTGTATAAATCAAATGTTAATCATGCCCCATGAATCTAAATTCGCCCACACCCAAGAGAGTTCTTCAGTAATATATTCCTGTATAGGACTTGTCTTTCACTCATTCCAATACTAAATAAAAATATTACAACTTAACTTCGTATAAAGAGACATCTTTATGAATTCTACCTATCTAACATTTTTTTGGTCAACGTCAACAGGCCATATAGTAAATGTGCATAGACATAGGGACTTCATTCTATCTGTTTACATGCATCTTCATATATACTCATATTCCTCTTTGTCAAACTGAGAGAACTGGCTTCCATAACTTTATATGTCACTTTTATTTTGATGTTCGCTGAAGTCTCTTCAGCTAACAGAACTGTCATTTTTACATTTAAACACACCCCTGGAAAAAAATTACGAAGCGAGTCGCTACTAGCTTTTTTAAAAGCTAACCTTGTTAACTCCTCTAATACTTTTTTGTTTCATCCATACTTCCTTTTAATATCTGAGTTAAATCAGACACAACTTTTGTTAAGGCCATTTTTTTTTATCTTAACTTCTCCAAAGTAGACACTAGTATTCAAATGATACACTTTTATTTCAAATGGAATACACTTGCTAAGGTTCATTTGCTAATAATTCATGTTTAATAACCTTTTTTCTTTTCAGTTCACTTGTTTTATACAAAAAAATGATGTTTTTATTACAGTTTTATTCACCTTATAAATTCTCATCTTCTAACTGTTGTAGGATGTAAGGCAATATTCACCACGTCCGATTCCTCGTTGCCTGTGTTGTAAATTTAATTCTTCAATTGCATGTTGTAATCTCGTGGTATGCCCTACTGATGTTAGTGCTTGTTGTTGTTGTTGTTGCTGCTAGATTTGCTGTTGTTGATTTTGCTGTTGTTGTCCCTCCCTCTGTGACATTGGTGCAACAACAGCAATTTTTTTGTTGTTAACATTCATAATGTTGATTTAATCATTCCACATGATGTTGATTTAATCATTCCAAAAGGTTTATATATTTTTAGGTTTTATGTTGATTGCCTTTTTTATCAGAGTAGTTGTGAATATATTTTTGAATCATGTTATAAGAACATAGATTTTATAAAAATGTGAGCAACATTGATCCATATAGGATGCACAGTTTCCACTGGTGTATGTGTGATGCGTGAATTTTATTAATGAGACTGTGCGGATAGATAGGTCTTATTTTGAGTCCATGTTGTTCACAATTGTCTTACTGTTTTTGTTGTTGTTTTTTTATTGTTACTTGGTTCAGTTGTCATTTCTAGTTTAGTTAACATTGCTCATTTTAGTAACATTACTTATTTTAGTTAACATTACTCATTTTAGTTATCATTTCTTATTCTAGTTTTTTATGTTAAGTATTCAATTTAGATGGTGTATCATTTTCTTTTTATTTGCAACATGTAATAGTTAATGGTGGAGTTAATTAATGTATAAAAAATGGTTTAAAATATTATTTTTGTGTGAACATCTTTCATTTTAAAGCCTTCCTTTCTCCCCTAAAGAGTGGTATGGTCTTTTAGTTTTATATTTTCAGCTTTTATTTTCAACATTCCTAGACTTAATTTTTTAACCTTTTTTCTCTCTTTATGTAATAGAGTGGACATATTAACTTTATAAAATCTTTTTGTGCCATTTTGCTTTACAAAAAAGAGTATATACTTTAAGAGCGTTGTAGTACTTCTGAAGTTTTGTGAACAAAATAAAAACATATGTATTATGTTGTTATAAAATTTGACTAGTCAAAGGTAAGCGTCTTAAATTTTTAAGTAGTTAATAAAGAAAAAATTCAGAAGACACCCTTTTTTATTTTTTTCTCGTGTTTGATATAATAACGATCACATAATGGTTATCAGTGATTACTGTTTTTTTATCTTGCATGAAGTAATAAAGTTAAAACGATAGATGATCCTTAGATATTTGAGGGAATGGATGTAACTTTAAAAGAAAAAATTCTTTTTATGATTAACAATGTTTTTTATTTCTCCTGTATGTTTACTGTATTTAAGGTTAATTTATATCATATATTTATTTTGAAAAAAATATATATCATTGTAATTGAATTATTTATCATTCCTGATATTATGATTGAAGGTTTAGTTCATGGTGGTGTATAATAACATTTTCCTATCATTGTTGACTCTTACTAACATGTATTTGTGGTAAAATTACTTCTTTATTAATTCTACACTGACAAGCATCAGGAAATATTTTTATAATCTTGTTATATGTTATAAAATCAGTTTGATTTATTTAGGGCTAGTCTATTTTGATCAGTTATGATTGAGGAGGAGTTACGTGAGGAGGTAATTTATACCGTCTGTTTGTTTCCCATATTCAACTTGTATGGCTTAGTTTTGAATTCTGTACATGATTTCTCTTGTTTCCTGAACTTATACTGTCTGTTTTTTGTCTGGAAAACATTGGCGCTGCCGTTTTTTAATGGCATCCTTTATTTGTTGCAATTCTGTTTCTATTAAAGACACTTTAGGTTTTAACTGCCTTTCAAGTATGTTCTTCGCTATGGCTATCGTCTGCGCCGTTGGAAGGAACATCCGTATATGCATTTCGGACCGAGAACTTTGTCGGGAGGTACTGGATTTTATCCTTCTCCTTATTGTACTTTTCGGTTTATTAAATAAATCCATCCCTATTTTTTTTTTTGGACGCACACCTTAACGTGTTGAAAACTAAGTACATACTGGGTTCAATAATTGTTAGGTATTTATTTTAAAACTTTGAAACTTCTTTTGTATGTTTGAGGTGATAAAATGCTCCATTACAATTAAAAGTGATATCGCAAATTCACCGACAACCATATTGAAATCAGAGACGAAAGACATTTTGCCGGCGTAAACTATATATAATGTTACTCGGGTGTCCTAGTGGTGTTTTAAGCATTTCTCGTTGTTTTGAGGTACATTTCATTGTTTTTTAAGTACTCATTATTGTTATTGTTTCTTCGAGGCACCCCTAATTGTTTTAGGGGCACTCCTTATAGTTTTTGAGGCATTCCTTATTACTTTTTAGGCACTCCTCCTTGCTTTCGAGGCACTCCATATTGCGTTTGGGGCACTCCTCATAGCTTTCGAGGCTCTCCTCATTGTGTTTAAGGTACTCCTTATTGTTTTTGAAGCTCTCCTCATTGTTTTTGAGACACTCCTTAATGATTTTTGAGGCAGTCCTCATTGTTTTTGAGAGACTTCATGTACATGTAGTTTGGATGAAATTGCACCAGTAGTTTTTGACGAGTAAACCGGACAGGTTTTGTTACTGACGGAAAAACAGACAGACGGACAGACGACGGACAATTGACCCCTATATATCGCCACTACTCAAAAGAGATTTAGTAATGACGTCAGAAACTTTCATTTGTGAATGCAAAAATAATCATACCTCTTTAGATTTTCAGTTTATTTTAAAGTGTAGTATGAAATAATGGAAAACAAATATATTTTTATTTTCAATCTCTTTATTTTCCATTATGGCCGTTGTGTCCGTGTCCGAATAACTGTTGTGCCAAATGTGTAAAGTACTGGTCCCATTCGTGTAGAGTTACCCGTCCGTCGTCTGAAAATATATAAATGTGGAAAACTTACTCTACGGATGAATATATTTTTAAATATTAATGGTGCAATATGCTTCAGAAATACTACTTAATTTACTTCTCAAAAACTTTCATTTTTGGGTATCTTGTTACAGTTTTCAAAGAAATACACATTTGCCATTACATAACTATTTACTGCAACTACATCTCTGTTGGAAATTGGTATAATAATAGTGCATTAGTATTTTGTATGTAAATTTTGTACTTTGTTCAACTTTTTGCTACCTTAATGACCATTTATTACTGCACGTTCAGCGCTACTGGCTTCTGTTATAAACATCTAACATGCTCGTAATCCATTATTCAAACACTATTTAAGATATCTGCCATTTCTAAGAATTAAAATTTTTTTGGAGGCTTAATGTGGCTTTTAAGTGTAAGTTCTTATCTTTTCGCTTCATTAAATGATAAATATATGATGACGCTTAGTGATTTAAATAACTAATAAATATACACATTTAATTCTCAAATTGATTTTACCTACAGACAAATACATAAATCACCGATTTACTAAAGGAGCTCCACTGGGGCCAAAAAAGCCTAAAAACATAAAATTTGGAATCTTAATTAGATAAAGGAAAGTTCTTACAATGTAACGATATGCAAAGGATGATTAAACAACTATACTCAAAATTAAATTGAATATTGATTTTTTTTAGCAATTCTTAGCTCAAGTAGCATGAAAAGGAGATTTTTAGATTGTTTGCACAATAAAATTGTAATTCTGAAAAAAAAAAACGTTGAGAGGGAAGGGTGTGTAAATATGCACACTAGTTATTGCTCCAAGAATACATCAAACCGTACACAAATCTCGGAAAATATTTTCCAATCCCATCATGTCAAAAACCTTAGTGGAGTCCCTTTCAGAGTAAATATTTGAAGAAATATGGAATTTGTTAAATACTTAAAAGGTAAAGGGCACCAGATGCTACTTCAAAGTACGCTTATGTCAAATTTAAGTGACCTTAGTATGAATTTATATGGATATTTGTATGGATTTATATGAAATTATGACCTTGTATCAATATAAATTGAGATATTTTTGAAATGGAATGTGGGTGATGTTATTTATTCTAACCATATTTAAACTATGTTTTATCGTAAACATTGCTTTTGAAATTATTCGTAGTATCCGAGGTTAGCCAAAATCATCTTTCCTATTTCGTAAAACCAAACAAACAACCAAACAAATAATCACCCTGTTTGCCTTGTATAGCATGTGTCGATTTAACTGAGGAAAACCGCCATTCATTAATAAGGGGCTTCAAATGGTATATTTTTAATATTTGCTATAACCCAAACAAATCTTCATATCTTTGAAATACAAATACAATTACTAACAAGACATGACAAACCTTGTGACTCCATTGCTTTGCTAAGTTATAATAAAACCGACATAATAACAAGAGAATGTGGTACAAGGGCTTCTTGAGTGGCAATTGAAAAAAAAGAATTATTTGTGAGGACTAGCATGTTCTTTATCTCACTTACTGTTATGGTCGACCATATGATAATCGGCTTGCATATCCGGGATTGTAAGACATTGGTTTTTATCGTGGTCGAGGAAATGAAACAGCTTGGTAGCAACTTCCGGCGCATGCGCTAAACTAGTTGCGGCGTATTCCGCCTCTGTTACACACGTATCGTCTACAAAACAATGCGACATGTCAATTTTGTTCAGTATCAGTATCAATGTTGCATTTTTTTTCATTATCCCTCATGTACAGACTCAATCAAACCGAGACTGCTTTCGATGGATCACTCTTCTACCAAATATTAAAATAAGCTACACTGTACCACATAATAACCATACGGCAATGATAAATATAGAAAAGAAAATTTGTACATGACGGTGAAGTCATATTTGCAGTAACTTATAAAAACATACTATGCCAACTGCATTCGACTACATTAAAGCGGTCTTTGAAGTTTCTAAAAATTAATTGTGTTACTTAAAGATATTTCGTTTCATCGTTTCATATCATTTTTATATCAAAAGTATTAAAGTGAAAGACGATAAAAACATAAACAATAAGGAAACCCCTTCGTTCCTTAAAATAAGAAGATCGGGAATTGATCGTCTGCTTTACTTATTTACATATAGAAATCGGGCCGGTAAAAAATAGGCATCAACCAGAGATGTTATATTAAAATCGTTTAGCTTGTGTTTGTGGTATTTTAGTTTTAACTATTTGTCATTTTCATGGAATGGCACTACTGTGTCACTTTGAAGGTTCCATGATATCCACCGTATGAACTGCGGATGTTTCTAAATTCAAAATTTTACCATTTCATGTTTCAATGTTGAATTCTATTTAAGCCGGTGCTAGGGGGCGTGAACGGTAGTTTGCACTTAACAGAACCGTCCATGAACACGCTCAGTAAAACCGAGTCTGTCAAATTTTTAATTTTGCCGTTTGGAGCTTTAATTCTTTTTGGGATTTTTGTTTTCTCCATTTTAATGATATAATGCAGTTTGTTTTTTTTTCAAAGTAAAATTATTGAAATAATTAGTTTGAAACAACACAGTATTGTTTTTCCAACAAAATATTAAAACTGAAGGCCGCTTTCAAAGAATAGAACAACATACACAAGCCAAAGGTTAATACTTACTATCTGCATCCGCTCTTAAAGCTATTATGTCCCATTCGCTTTCGGTAACTATGCCATCCTGAGGGCTGTGATCCAACCTTGCAAATGCTTTGTCTACAACCACTTTTAAGTCATGGCCATGTGGCAGCACAACCTGACTAAAATACATCGTTCCCATTGGTTGATTCTTACGCATATCTAATTTCGTAATATCCAGATTTTAAAATGTCCATAATTGTAACATTTATTTCTCATTGTACAGTTCAAAAGCCAACATTTCAACAGTCTCAAATAAGTTTATTTCTTAGATCGAAACTACGTACTCGGCTTTGCTCTGATAAGTACGTTAATAAGACTTTTTGAATTTGACCGAGGTGTTCCGAATGAGGAATATCCGTTTTTTTCGTTTGTAACAATAACGTGCGCATCATAGCATTCACCTAAGATGTTAACTATATAATTATTTTATTGTAGAATCTGATGATTTTGTATCGTAAACCTTTTCCAAAACTTACAAACTTTAAAATACATTTTCAAATTTCATGGACGTTAGGCGAGAAAAAAAATTAACATATTACCTATAAGACAGCCCAACAACGCTTAGGAGCAACAGAAAGAGCATTTTACTGGATCTAAAATACAGAAATCAGTGCAAAAATATATACATGTATATCAAACTTAACTTAATATAAATTAAAAAAAAACAACGTTATTCTATTTTATCAATAGAATTTGGCATAAAATTCTTAAGCTTTTAATACGTTATTGTATAAAATGTGTCGAGAAATACCAAATAGAGCTACTGACCTCGGTGTGTTTATGCAAGTCCTGTATACTGTACTATCAGAACATGCCTAAAGTAGCACTCTTTTTATACTTACCTGATTTCCTGACGTATGACACGAACGACACGAAATATTTGATTAAACCTTCAAATGACCTTAAAGGTCTCTGACACGGCGCAAAAATTCCAAATATGATCAGATTATTTTATGTAATTAAGCCTTAAAGGCCCATTATGCTACGGAAATGCTTTCATTTTTATTTCACAAAATATATCTATTTTTGTATTCTTTTATAGTTTTCAACACATTACTCATTGGCCAATTACCTGAAATATCTTTTTTTTCTGTTGCTTTTTGGCAATTCGTACATATATAGTGATTTAATATTTTCATGGAAGTCAAAATACATTATTTACATTAAATAAACTACTTTTACGACATATCCTTTTACATTTAGCACTATTTTCTTCGGGCAACAAACATCTTGTATGCTCTAAAATCATTTAGACGTTATAAAACTCATGTTTGACCTTTCTAAAAAAGTAAATAGTATTTATTCATGTTTGAGGCAATAATGTCCTTTACCCTGCTTGAACCAAATTGTGACCAGTTTTCTGTCCGGGAAACCAAGTCTGACCAGGGTCTATACTTCTGGCTGACTCACTTTGAATTTTCATCTATTTATCCCTAAAATTGAAAATGGATAAATTCAATAATGGAAGCTAGACAAAAGAAAGTGAATAATGATCTTGAAATGAGTAGTTCTCAGTGATAATGGATCTTGAAGCGTGCAGTGTTCAGCGAGTAGTGGTCAGTGAAATTTTGATCGTGAAGTGAGCATTGCTCAGTGATTATTGATCTTGAAGCGAGTAGTGTTTGGTGAATAATGATCATGTGGTGAGCATTACTCAGTGATTATTGATCTTGAAGCGAGAAGTGTTAGGTGAATAATGATCTTGATCTTGAAGCGAGAAGTGTTAGGTGAATAATGATCTTGATCTTGAAGCGAGAAGTGTTTGGTGAATAATGATCATGTGGTGAGCATTAATTACTCAGTGATTATTGATCTTGAAGCGAGTAGTGTTTGGTGAATAATGATCATGTGGTGAGCATTAATTACTCAGTGATTATTGATCTTGAAGCGAGAAGTGTTAGGTGAATAATGATCATGTGGTGAGCATTACTCAGTGATTATTGATCTTGAAGCGTGGTATGTTCAGTGAAAAATGATCATGTACATAGAAGTGATCAGTGATTATTGATCTTGAAGTGAGTAGTGTTAGGTGAAAACTTTACTCAAAATTAGGCTATGTTACCCCTAATCTACGGAATGCCGTTAGGGCCATTGCCTATGAATGTGTTGATCTGATACGCGAAAGTCGATAGTCAGTGGTGAAAACGCGAAATCACGAAACTACGATGGTGAAAACGCGAAAGTACGATGATGAATACGCGAAAGTACGATGATAAAATCGCGACAGTACGATACTACGATGATGAAAACGCGATAAACTATCGTGTTTTCACCATCGTACTGTCGCGTTTTCACCATCGTAGTTTCGTGTTTTCATCATCGTACTATCGCGTTTTCATCATCGTACTGTCGTGTTTTCATCATCGTACTATCGCGTTTTCACCATCGTACTGTCGTGTTTTCATCATCGTACTATCACGTTTTCACCATCGTACTGTCGTGTTTTCATCATCGTACTATCGCGTTTTCATCATCGTACTATCGTGTTTTCACCATCGTAGTTTCGTGATTTCGTGATTTCACCATCGTACTATCGACTATCGCGTTTCAGATTAACACATTCATAGGCGATGGTCCTAACGGCATTCCGGAATGCCGTTAGGGCCATCGCCTATCAATGGTTTGATCTGAAACGCGATACTCGACTGTACGATGATGAAAACGCGAAATCACGAAACTACGATGATGAAAACGCGACAGTACGACGGTGAAAACACGATAGTTTATCGCGTTTTCATCATCGTAGTATCGTACTGTCGCGTTTTCATCATCGTACTGTCGCGTTTTCATCATCGTAGTTTCGTGATTTCGCGTTTTCACCATCGTACTATCGCGTTTCAGATCAACACATTCATAGGTGATGGCCCTAACGGCATTCCGTACTAATCAGCAGAAAAAATGAAACAAACCTTTACTATACTTTTGATACTCTGAATAATGAATCTAAACAGTCGTATTTGGAGAATATAAAGTAAAAATTTAAACTTCAAATTAGGAGAAATAAAAGTCTGATTAGGCCTTGTATGACCTAATTAGAAGTAAAATTAGTAGGAGAAATAAATTTCTAATTAAGTACACTGTATAAAAACCAATTTGGAGATACAAAGTTGAAATTAGGATTTGGATCTCCTAATTAGGCCTTTTAATTTAGCTCCTTATTAGGATTTACAAAGTCATTATTAAGATTTTATTTCTAAACGCCTAATTAAGACATACAAAGTTCTAATTATAATTTCATAGGTTTTAAATTCTTCTTATTAAGAGTTACAAAGTCGTAATATTTAAGGCTTATAAGTCCTAATTAGGGGTTAAAAGAGGAGTAAAAATGTTTTAATTGTGTTTTTTATTTCTCCTATTTATGAGTAACATAAAAAGTCAAAAGTCCTTGGTTGGCTTTTAAATCTAAAATTTTCGACCGTGCGACCACATACACGCATCGAGGACATGTTGGAAGAAAAGTGACCGTGCGACCACACACACGCATCACAGGATTCCCCTTCTCATACAAGAAAGGGACAAAGAGTTATCCGCCCCTTTATGAAAGGGCAGACTGTAAAAATGTGCCGTTTCCTTACTATTGTAAGGAGGCTATTTTTAACAAATATGTTTTGAATTGGTATTTATACAACCATAGTTACGCAAACTAAACGGGGATCAGTGTTCGTCCTTTTAAGTTCGCTTTGAAATTTTAAAAAGCTCATATTTAATTTTTAGGGAAATTTTGAATTTAAAGTTCTTTCGTCTTTTCATTTTGTATTTATAATAGAATTACCTTATTTCTGCAAAACATGAACGTTTCATAAACGTTTTATGTGCGTATTGAATGTGAGAAATATATTTCACACTTTCCTTGCATATATACTATATATTAACCTGGTGGGGCATTTTGCCAAATTACGCATTTTATTTCTTAAACTGGCATGACTTGACTTATAATACTTGAAGTGATGGACTACGAAAAATAATGGATTAAATATAAACAGCAGGTGTGTGTGTGTGTGTGTGTGTGTGTGTGTATTTGCGTTTATTTACACTCGCCACCGTTGCCTATATGGGCGAGTCCTCCAGAAGAGTATTAGTCATTTTAGATTTTTTGGAGGATAGTGCAATTACAGATACGGAAAGATGCCCCAATTCCAGAAGCTTTTCCTGGTTCTTTAGCGTGCCAAGTGTTTAAGCACCCATACACGGGACCTCGATTTAAAGTCTCATCCGAAAGACTGATTAGTAATTTTAGTTGGCCAGCCCGGGAATCGAACCCACAATTTCGAGATTACAAGTCTCGCGCTCTAGCCGATTGAGCTATGCGGACTGGCAAAAAACAGCAGGCTGTGCTGATGCTGGTTATATACAGATTTGCATGCTGAATTTGTAAAATGGACTTTTCATGCTCTAATCTTTGGAACTGTCCATTATCAAGATAAAAAATTAAATTTAATAAGCCAACGGTAGAGACTGCTTAGACTACACGGGTTTTCAGCCAGGCTCGGCTCTACTCGGGTTAATTCATTTCAGTTCTAGCAGGGTAAAGGTGCAGTGTTATTTACAAAATAACTTTTGAACTAGTAATCTAAGGCTTGCTGGCAGTATGGGTTCAAGTCCCGTCAAGATCAATGCGTGGTTTCCTGGAGCAAGAAAATTTATTCTTATAGCTTAGTTCTCACGCCGTTTCCCATGCAGTTTTCGTGTAAAATGTTTCTGTTGTCATCAATTCGACAGATGCATCGAAGAAGCATTCTTTAATAAATGACACACGGTAAAAGTAATTTAAAAGCAGTATGCAAAGTTCAATTCAGTGCAATTTAACATTACATGTACATGAAAATGTAAAGAATAACCCTATGTCTATTACATGTACTGTCTATGAACTCAACACTGCGTGGCATAATAGATAAAGCTTACTTACATAAATAGGATAAAAATGTTTTCATGATAATTGCCCTATTTATAGTGATTTTCTGTCAGAATGTTAGCCACTTTCGACATTTTGGGATATTTCGTATCGAAACTGCATCCAAAATGATGAGAAAAATGTTCTACGTGGCATAGAATTCTTTGATTTTTGAAAAACTATAAAGCTTTATGTCTATACGAAATTAAATTACATTTTTTACGAAACCCATTTGGAAAATACAAAATATTATTACATTCTTTTATAAAAAAAGATGTGTCACGGATGTCACTTTAAGAGCACCGTAGTTTGTGTTTGATGCGCTAGGTTTTTCTTTTCATTCCATATCTTTTTTCTTTTTATTTGGAGGACGATTGTTGAAACAAAAGTTAAAACATGGAACGTTTTGATAATCAAAACAATAGATAAGAAATGTTCTGTTTAAGTTAAGCAAAAACAAAATCCATGTCGTTGTATATAGGTCCCTTCTTACAGAAATCGGGCAAAAATGTCGTCAACGAACACACCAAAATAGTAGGTTAAGGTGTGCTCCGGATAATGGTGTTTTTTTTTTACGAAAATTCATAAAATTTATATATAAATAGAACAAATCGCCGCAAAGGCGAACGCCTATGCATTGTGGACGTCTTGCGGCCTTGCTTCTAAAGCTAGACGAAAGTGCATTATATAAGCGTCAATTTGGCATGTAGATGGTAGTTGGATATTCGAATATCCAAAAACCTACTACCTGGTAATTGGTGATTCGTAATTCCCAACTAATTAACAGCTGGTAGTTGGTAATTCGATCCACTATCACCAGCATGAAATTTCTAAAACATCATACTTTTCTAAACACAGAATAAAGGAGGGGCCTAGTCGATTATTCGCGTGAATCCCCAACTACCACCCAGAAGGTAATTGGCTATTCGAACATTTATGCA